CTGAAACCGCTCCAAGCTACTGCTGGTGGGGATCGGACCTCATCTTGTGAATGCTGGGTAAGCCGGGCACTGCAGAAGGCTCTGGAAGGGTTGTAAATGGTCCAGAACTCAGCAGAAAACACTCTCAGCTACCCTGCACCCACAAACATATCCTGATTTACAGATTGACTGAAAACAACTACACGCCCTACAAGCCGTGAGTGAGGTAAGAGGAATTCCTTGGATACAGTGAAAAGGCATGTTCAACCAAGTTGCTCCCCTGGGGTTTATCGGTTACTGATTAAAATGATAAACCGGGAGCCAATAGGTTCTCTTGCACCAAACTTTCTGAGTTATTTATTTTGGGATTTTTTTCCCCCCGGTGCCAATCCATGAAGATGTGAGGGAGTAATTAATTCCACTCCGCTGGTCACCCCGCCCTTTTATTTTGAGAAATGCTGTCCATACCCTGACTTTGCTGATAGGGTGTCGGAAGCATTTGTTGTCTCCAGTCTCGCTGAGTGTTATGGCATAAAACTGTCCTTTGTTGAGGTAGGTCATGGGGCCTTCGCCCTGCTTCTGACGGAGAGATTTGGTGGCTTCCAGGGTGTACTGAAATGTACCACTGCAAAGAGAAAACAAAGAGCAGCCAGGTCACTGACTTGAACATTATGCTTACCTCTCGAGCATCAACAGAATTTTACAGGAGTGTTAACAAGTGTTTACTCCACCTTACAGACAAAATACAAAATATAGCAGCAGGTATGAGTCCAGACCAAGGGTCAATAGTGTGCAATACACATAGCGTTTTTAACCATGGCTCATAAACCAGATGGTTTAAGTGGGGAGAAAGTCCAGGATGTGCTGGGGAACTAATGTCAGAGAACCATGGACAGATCCTGGGCCATTCAGCTCAAGAACATGTCCAATTCCAGTGCTTCTCTTCAGTTTGTGTTTGCCCAGTTTTCTTCCTATCCAGCCACAACTTAGCTGATGGGGGAAGTATATGTTTCTTTTATTGGTTGATGAATAAAACACTGTCTGACCAATAAGTGAGGAAGAGAGGCGGACTAGGACAAGGAGAATTCTGGAAAAGGTAGGCAGAGACAGCCCCTAGAAGAACAGTTGCTATGTAGGCTGCCAAAGGAGTTAGAGGTCCGAACCCTTCTCCGGTAAGATAAGCCCATGTGAAAATACTTAGATTAATTGAAATGGGCTAATAATTAAGACAGAGCCAGCCAATAAGAAGCTCTAGTCATCAGCCAACACTTTTTTAATTAATATAGCACCTGTGTGTTTATTTGGGGCTCAGAAGGGTGTCGGGACCAGGCTGCGAAAGAAAATCCCATTATACTTACCTAAAAATATTTCAAAATACGAAAACCCCCATTCAAACATTCACTGCTAAGCATCACATTCCCTCCTTAACAAAGGGGTGGGGGTGGGGTATTTTCATCTCATTTTGTTTGTTTTGCAATAAAGGGAATTGAACCCGTCACCTCACAAGCTCCAGGCCAGTGTCCTATCACTGAGCTACAACCTCAGCGCTGTTGTGTTTCATTTTGAGAACGGGTCTGGCTGTGGGTTAGGCTGCCCTGGAACTTGGTTGTGATCCTTCTGCCTCAAACTTCTGAGCAGCCAGAATCATGGACATGTGCCACAAAAACTGGCCTGTTTCTTGTGTACAGACCTGCAGAAGGATTCGTGGTGAGGCTACTCCAAAGCAAGCTTGCACGTGATGGCTTGTGGACAACTGGTTTACTGCTACATTTGCAAATAAAGTTTTATTGGGACAGTCATGTCTGATGTTTACTGTCTAGCTCATTGTAGACAGAGCTGCAGGTCTCTGCTCAGAATTTCTCTGATATTTTTAAGATATAGTCTATAAAACAAAAACATTGATTTTTTTTTCCTAATTCTGAAGACTATATTGACTGTTCAAAATTTACATAGTAGGTATGAATCACATCTTTTTTTTTTATACGTTCTTCCAAAAATGCTTGTTTTGGTTGCACTTTGGGATAAGCCACAGAAGGGGGCCATTAATAAACTCTACCTTGTGACTCTCTAGTCCCTCTCTGCTGCCTTCGGTCAGTTAGTCAGCCCACTCATCCCTCAGTTTCCAGAAGGCTTTGAAGCACAGGTGGCTGAAACATGACCTCTCAAATGTCCCACTTACAGGGTTGGGAGGAACTCCACTTCTTTGGTAGACACTTTAGAAATGTTGTGTTTATATTTTAACTTTTAGACTAAGAAATCACTTATGATTTTTCTTTAAAAATATTCCTATTATTTGATACAAATCTGAGAGTGGAGTCAGAGGGATGGTTCAGGGTTTAAGAGCGCTACTCCTCACTCCTCTAGAGGACCCAGGTTTGGCTCCCAGCACCCACGTGACAGCTCACAACCATCTGTTACTCCAGTTCCAGGCGATGGGACACCCTTTTCTGGCCTCTACAGGAACCAGGTTCATATGAGGTACACAGACATACATGCAAACCAACACCTTACACATAAAGTAATAGAATAAAGCGCTTAAAAAAGCAGTTATGGGCATCCCCTGGTGGCCTACCTTGCTGTCTGGTCATACATATACTCTTCAGCACCAACGGAAGCACTCCGGAATTTCTGAAAATTTAAATTGTAGATTTAAAACAAATAGACTGAGGATATATGTAAACATTAAACACACACACACACACACACACACACACACAGGTAAATGACAATGTAGTTAGTGGTACATTGTGTCTTCAAACATAGAAACCATTTTTTTTTCACCTTTCTGTTGTCTCTAACACTTTATTTCAAATGTTACAAATTTCAAATTAATGGATCACAGAGAAAAAATGAGACAGCAAAAGGCAGGCTAATAGAGTGGTTACAAGCATAGTTTCTAGATTAGAACCATCAAGAATCAAGTTTTAGCTATTTTACCTGACATACAAAATTGTATGTATTTTCTCTGTTAAATTTCTACTCATAAGCTTGGTGCTGGTGAGGCCAGCCTGCGCTACAGAGCCAGTTCCAGGATAACCGAGGCTACACAGAGAAACCCTGTCCCTCCCAAAAAAGTCTACTCATGGTATGTGATCACATTAGACAGACAAGCAAAAATACTAAAAGCATGGTTGGTACAGCACGAACATTTTGTGTGTATTAGATCCAAGTAGACAGTAACCTGTTGACCGTATCCAGGGTCCTAAGCATCTCTCCTGGCAGATGCTTTCAGAGTAGATTTTGGGAGGAGGCTCTAAGGTTAGTGTTACATGAACTGGGTCCTGGTGTGAGGGAGCTTGTGCACACGTATGTGCATGCATGTGTTTGTATGTGCATTTAGATAGTTTCAGATTTTAACACCAGCATGTGAAGGCTCTTGCCCCCAAGCCTGAAGACCCGAGTTTGATATCCAGAACCCACACAGTGGAAGAAGACTGACATCTGTAAGTGTTCCTCTGACCTCCCCACATGCCATAGCCTGTGCTCACACACAAGAACACACATGGACGTATGTACATACATACACACAGATACACATATCCATACATATACATACATGCACGCATATACACACAAGAACACAAACACAAACATCTGACCTATAAAGCAAGAATGATATTGGTGGAAAGACATACAGACATGCTGTCCACCCATTCACACTCATGTGGCCCTTTCCTCTATGACGCCTCCTCCTTCCTCTCATTTCCATTCTTTGTCCATTGTTTCAGGAGTTTCCTTCTTCAGGGAAAGGTCTCACAGCTGTTTCCAAATGATCCTCACAACCCGCACCCACCGCGTCCAGAATTCAGTTTGCTTTTATTCTGCAGTTTCTGCTGACACGTTCACAATTATTACCTAGTCTTATTCCTCAGACCCAAGAAGACCGGCCTGCCCTCAAAACTTTACCCACCCACACGAACCCATGCACACGGCACAAGTGTTGGGTGGTTGGTTGAGTGATCACATGGGAGAATCAAAGGCGTTGGTTTGTGTTTCTTTTGCAATCAGTCTGCAAACCCTTCAGAGAGAATTTTCTAGAGCTTTGCCATCTGCTTGGTGCCAGAAGAAACATAGAAATTATATAAGATACCAACTTGGCCTTAAAAAAAAAAAAAAATGGTTGAGAGGAATAAATTCACATGAAAAGCAACAATAAAGTGAACGAAGAAAATACAACAAACAACTCTGCATGGAAGTCCATGTTGAATCAATCAATCATTCATTCATTCATTCATGTATCCTAGAAGAAGAAGCCCATTCATTCATTCATGTATCCTAGAGGAAGAAGCCCATTCATTAATTCATGTATCCTACAAGAAGAGCAGAGTGGGGATTACCAGGAAGAAACAGAAAGTCTGTGGCAATTCCACAACCAGTGGGCTTTGGTTGACAAAAGTAATCCAGGTACAAGGGGGCCACCCTGAGTCAAGGCAGGGCAGCGGGCACAAACGTGAAACAGACATAGAGCCAAGGACACAGTCCTGGACCAATTAAGAAGGGAGAACCTCATGGTCTAGATCTTCACAGCCTGCTGCAGTAGCCACTAGCCATACCATATGTGCTATGTTAACAAAAACATAGATGCTCAGTTACTCGGTCAGCTAGCCACATTTCAAACACTAAGTTGTTAAATCTGGCTATCCACCTACCCTGTTGGAAGGCAGGAAAGACAATGGTCAGAGTTACAAGAGTGCTGTTTAGCTCAGCTGGACTATGGTTAAGAATGTTCTACTCTGGTTTGTTTGATCTGCCCATTTGCTTTCTTTTTTTAAAGATTCATTTATTTATTGTGTATACAGTGTTCTGTCTGTGTGTATCCCTGCCCACCAGATCTCATTATAGATGGTTATGAGACACCATGTGGTTGCTGGGAACCAAACTCAGGACCTCTGGAAGAGCAGCAGCCAGTGCTCCCAACCTCTGAGCCAGCTCTCCAGCCCTGCCCGTTGGCTTTTTTGTTTTGTTTTGTTTTGTTTGTTTTGTTTTTCGAGACAGGGTTTCTCTGTGTAGCTTTGGAGCCTATCCTGGTACTTGCTCTGCAGACCAGGCTGGCCTCGAACTTGCAGAGATCCCCCTGCTTCTGCCTTGCCACCAACGCCCCGTCCATTTGCTTTCGAAAGAGAGAAAAGTCATGAAGATGAATGGGTGGAGGAGATGAGGGAAGGGAACCATGATTAGAACATAGTGTTTGAAAAAGATGCTCAATTAAAAAGTGTGATACCATATATTACATCCCTACACACCGGCATGTTTAAAATGAGTGTTAGCATTCTAGTTTTGTTCCTGCGGTGAGGGCGGAGAGAAGCCATCTGCTAAGAATATACCACAAGAAGACAAGGATCCTTTATCTGCTAGGAAATCTGATACAGCTAAACAAAGCTGTCTTTCCTCACTGGCCACTGGTTTCAACTTTATCGCTCATTCAATCGTCTTCCCGGCTATGTTGAAAATACTCTTCACACCAGCTGGAAACCACATGAGGAGACAGGTACAACGTTAAACAAGACCAGAGCAGGTCCCATTTTTGTGAATGTTTTTTGTCTGGTAGGGGAGGGAGAGCATTCATCACACTTATGCAAAAACAACAACAATGATGATGATAATAATAATAATAATAATAGCAGCTGGGTTATCACACTCCTTTAATCCCAGAACTCAGGAGGCAGAGGCAGGTGGATCTCTGTAGAATTCAAGGCCAGCCTGGTCTACAGAGCAAGTTTCAGGACAGTCAGGACTGTTACACAGAGAAACCCTGTCTTGAAAAACCAATAATAATAATAATAGAACAACAGCAATAATAATAATGATAATCACATTTATGCAAGGCTAGATGTTCCTCAGAGGTAGTGTGCACTTGCTCAACATGTGTAGGGCCAAGTTCAACCCCCGTTACAAACTGTTCTGTCACCGTGACGGAGCAGTCTGTTCCCTGAGAACCCACGCCACTTCCTGGCTCCCGAGCAGTGAGGCTTCCAGTGTGCCACAGACAAGGCCGACAAGGGAGGCACCATTCTCTGCCGTACCCCACATTCTCAATGGCACAGATGACTGACTGTAGCTTTCTGAGCAGACGCCCTTGGCCGGCCATGTCCGACTCATGCCACCTCCAGAACAATGAGTATATAGGCGTCCCATGGTTACATTTGACAAGCCCCAACCCAAAGTGCTCCCCTCCCCCTGCTCTCTCCAGTGACAAATGAATGTTGTCAACTCAGCCAGAGTCCCAGACATTTCTGGAGTTTGTTCAAACAAAGAACTAGGTTTGGACAGGTTTTCGACTTCACACTCATGCTCACAACCACCTCCGCAAGGAGATGACTAATGATCCCAGATTCATAGATCTGTGGTCTATCCCGCAGATCACAATTCACAGATCATTCAATTCAATTCAAAACACCTGCAAAGCAAACAGTTCCTGATTGCTCTGAGGCAGAATGAACAGCTGACCGGAGTGGGCAGCCCTTCCCTTTCCCATCCAGCAAGTTTGCTAACTCAAGGACTCCAAAAAGCCCCAAAGTACAACAACAGCTTTGCTTCACAGCCTTCTTTATCTAAATGACACACACACACACACACACACACACACACAACACACACACACACACACACACACACACACACACACACCTGATAGCATGTCCCCCAAACAGTGTGACAGTTCCCTGGTCCACAGCCACACACTCTTCCCTGAGTAACAAATCTCTGCACCAATGGCAATCCTCCCAGAAAGGCCACGGGCTTCCCATGGGACTGAGTGATGATGCCTTCAACTATTTGCTTTTCCCCAGCAGCACCCCTGAGTACTTGGGGGCAGTATTCAGCAGTATCGGTCTACAAGATCCCTCATTCAGATTAAAATTACAAAAGGTTGTTGTTGATCTCAAGTGATGTCACACAAACTGATTGGCAGATTTTTTTTCCCTCCTTTTTATTACAAGGTCATTAAAAGTCTAGTTGTAAATCTACCAAGTTCAAGGAAATGTGATAGCCCCTCAGGGCAGAGAAAGCTCTGACTGTGGTCACTCCCCAGTTGGGAGAATGTGACATGTACCCATAAGCATGAGTGCCAGCCGTGAGAGGGTTGCTAGTGTCCCTTTGAGAGCAACTGCTGCTGGCCAAGCTGTTGTGCCTCTGGCCTCTACCTGAAAGATAAGCAATTTCTATTGGGATAGATACGGAACATGCAGATTTTAAACAAACATTGGGTGGAGCACTGCCTGATGCAATAGAATTAGTGAGAATCTTAAAGCAACACTTCTCCGAGGAGAAAGGTGAGATTGCCTTCTGGCTGCAGTGGCCAATCCTCCTCACTAAGAAGACACAAATGACAGTCATGAAATGAAATGGCTGTCACTTTGAACACTGTGGCTATGGTGTGATTGTGCCCCTTAAGATTCTTGTGTGAGAAGAACTTGATCCACGGCACAGGAGTGTTGAGAGATGGGTCACATAAATTAACCCCCAGTCCTGAGAGGGAGTTCAATCGTAAGGGCTGTGCTGTTGTAAAAGCAAGTTTGTCATCTATCACATGTGTGTAGCCCTTTCACCCTTCTGCCATGTTAACAATGCAGTCACCGTGAGCTGTGGCTCATGGCTCTTAGGTGTCTCTATCCCAAGGGCACTGGACAGGAAGCCAGATGTACTTGACTCTCTTTTCGAAACCAGCAGTCACTCCACACCCTGCTTTATAGTTCTAGAAAAGCTGAAAATCAAAAATCCAATGCCATTCATTTCTCAGCAGAGGTACTGCTCCTACATGGCAAAGTGTGTGCTCACTGCACAGTCCAGATCAAGAATTGGAGAGGTGGCCCACAGAGATAGCCTCAGTGAATAACCTAAGATTCCATGGCAAGTCAATGGACACAAGAACATCTATCTTCAAAATTAATAAATGGCCGGGCGTTGGTGGCGCACGCCTTTAATCCCAGCTCTTGGGAGGCAGAGGCAGGTAGATCTCTGTGAGTTCGAGACCACAGAGCGAACTGGTCTACAAGAGCGAGTTCCAGGACAGCCTCCAAATCCACAGAGAAACCCTATCTCGGAAAAAACAAAAAACAAAACAACAACAACAAAAATTAATAAATG